ATCCAGGAACCGAGTGTCGCAAGAATAAGATCCAAGAAGACAAGAGATAGTGCAGTAAGAAGAATACCCCACCCAGAGCGGTGGCTGTTGGTGGTGGTGGTGGTGGTGGTGGTGGTGGAAGTCCCGGGCAACCAAAACGCCTGGGGACGCGCGCCGTATCCAGAAAACAAAAAGGATCAGCGACGGGTGCTCGGCCCCCTACGGGCAGTGAGCGAGGGAAGAGTCCACAGTATGGTTCCCGTTCAGTCCGACGACGGGTAGCTTGGGTGATGAATAAAAGATCGCGCAAGATGCGATCGTAAAAGAGACAAACACGCCCTACAACGGATGGTTGGAGGGGAAACAAGAGAGAAGCCAAAAAGGGATTGGCGATAGTGGGATGCGAAAATGGGGAGTTGACAGGGAAGGAGAGAAAAAGAGAGGGGGCTGGGGTTGGGGGGGGAGAGATTGTAAGGTTCGAAGTCGCAAAAGGTGGGAGGGAAACAAGAAGTGGGAACTTTGGGAAGGGAAAGAGTAGAAGAGAAGGAAAGGCGCGTCGACCGGCCAGCAACAGTTGATTGACTGCCAGGTTACTCAGGCTGGGAGGAAGGGAGTGGTAAGGTTATGTTGCCCAGCCTCCTCTTCTTCTGCCCATCTCTGATTGGTGCGTATTGATGTGGCTGGGGTCACGTGTAGCAGTCTAGCTTATGTCATTTCTAGATCACCTGAGTTGTGCTGATTCATCATGAGTATCATGCTTATTCCACTAGTCCCGATATGGACAGCTCGGAACAACACGTCATCCGATAAGGCTAGACCGCATCGGGCAAGGCATCATCAGCCGCACCGCCCAAGGATGAAGCCGTCAATAGAAAGAAGAAAAAGAAATCCCAAGGAGAAACTCAATGCATGAAGGAGAAGGACTTGATTGAAGATTACCTGCTCCGGGTCATGATCTGGGTTTCTCAATAAGACAAGGTTTCTTTGTGTTTCTATCGACAAAATATACTAAAACTACTTGACCGAGTGGGTTCTGTTCTCTCCTCTCTGTCTACTCTGCCCCGAAGTCTGGCCCAGTCCTCCTCTCTCCCTTCCCTGGTCGCCGTGTCCACTTAGCGACCTTTCCCCCCCATCTGGGCTAACCAATTGACGATTATTGATGCAGTTACGGCCAACTCGCGTCAAACCACCAGGAGAGACTGTGGCTTTGCCCATTCGCCGGCCTTGTCGATTTTTCCCCCAGAGCGATTACTCTCACATCTCATTTCCTCCTCCCCCTTAAAAAAAAAAGAACACCTCGCTCTCTTTGATTTTAATTATTCCTTCCTTACTGTTCCCGACGGGATGCTAGCAATTGGTGTCTGATATACCTGGGCCTATTTTCCGTTTCGACAAAGCATGAGAGATGTCAAGGTCCGCAACGCCCGCGCTCCCTTTCCATAATGCCCAGATCCCCGATTCGAGACCGAGGTCGACAACCCCGGCGGACGTGCGCTCCAGTACTTCCCCTTCTGTAAGTGGCTTGCCTGTCTGTCTTTTGGTCCTCTCCGTGTGTCCCAACTACTTGTCTCTTGCAATCTGTCCCCTCTGCCGTCTACCTTCCTTCGGCGCGGCTAACTGGGGCGCCTTGCGCGGATAGACGTCTACCTCGACATATTCGCTCTTAGATCCTCAAGAGACCGCAGAGCGCTTACAGACCTCCCTCGTCCATGGCCTTAATCCCGCCGAGGCCGAGGTGCGCCTGGCACAAGAGGGCCCCAACGAACTCCCGCACGAAGAACCGGAGCCCATATGGCTCCGCTTTCTCAAGCAGTTTAAGGAGACTTTGATCCTCCTCCTTTTGGCCTCCGCTGCGATCTCCTTTTTCATGGGTAACTACGATGATGCAGTCAGCATTACCCTCGCCGTCACAATTGTGGTCACCGTCGGATTCGTTCAGGAATATCGGTCGGAAAAGTCTCTGGAGGCACTGAGTCGTCTGGTGCCGCACCATGCGCATCTGATTCGCGATGTTCCCTTGAATGGCCCTCCAGTGGCCGGCACCATCCCGCCGGCTCCTGGTGCGGAGATGGAGTTGCAGGAGCTGCGAAGCAAGAGCCCGTCCATCTCCACTGCCGTCAAGGCCTCGACTACCGTGCCCGCCACGGAACTCGTGCCAGGTGACCTGGTCCTCTTCACCGTCGGAGACCGCATTCCGGCAGACATCAGGATCACTGCCGCCACGGATCTCTCCATCGATGAGTCCAACTTGACAGGCGAAAACGAACCGGTTGTCAAGTACCCCGATGCCATCCGCAGCCCGAAGCACCTTCCTTCGCACTCCCCTAAGATTGTGAGCCCGCCTCGATCGCCATTCTACGACGCCCCGGCCAGTGGCGCCGTGGGAGCCGACATCCGCTTGAATGAACAACACAACATCGCTTTCATGGGTACGCTGGTTCGGTCGGGATACGGACAGGGCATTGTGATCGGAACCGGTGCGAAGACGGAGTTTGGAAGCATTTCCGCCTCCCTCCAGGAAATTGAAAGCCCGCGAACGCCTCTCCAGCTGTCAATGGACCGTTTGGGCCAGGAGTTGAGTTACATCTCGTTTGGTGTCATCGGACTGATTGTTCTCATTGGCTTGATCCAGGGTCGCAAGCTCCTCGAGATGTTCACCATTGGTGTTTCGCTCGCGGTGGCTGCGATTCCAGAAGGCCTCCCTATTATTGTTACCGTGACGCTGGCTCTGGGAGTGCTGCGCATGGCCAAGCGAGGAGCTATCATGCGCCGGCTGCCGAGTGTCGAAACGCTGGGCTCCGTAAACGTCGTTTGCAGTGACAAGACCGGTACTCTGACGCTGAACCACATGACAGTTACCAAAATGTGGCACTTTGACTGCCCCGAGCCTTTTGAGGTCCATAATGATATTTCCTCCTTGACCCCCGGGCCTGCAGCGCGGACCGTTCTACGAATCGGCAACATTGCCAACAATGCCAGACTATCTCGCGTGCATGCCAACTCTCCGGCTAGCGCCTCTTCTGCCGCGGTCTTGTCCTCCACGGACGACAGGGCTTCTGGAAGTGTCCGTAGCAGATGGGTTGGCCAGCCGACTGACGTGGCTATCTTGGACTTGCTGGATACATTCGGCGAGGACGATGTGCGTGAGCGTATCAGCGCCCGTGTCGCGGAAACTCCGTTCAGTTCTGAGCGCAAATGGATGGGTGTGATCATTGGCAACGGTACCTCCGGTGACAATGTGGCCTATATCAAGGGAGCCCTCGAGCAGGCATTGAACCGGTGCGATACTTACTTGACCAAGGATGGCCGTGAGGTTATCCTGGATGAACCACGGCGCCAGTCGATAAGGCACGCAGCTGAGCACATGGCGGCAGAGGGCTTGCGGGTCTTGGCTTTTGCCAGTGGAGCAGTCAGGGATACTTCGAGAGGAAGAGCGTTTGGCAGTAGATCGGGTACGCCCGTGTCCAAGTCCAGCCAGAGTGATGACGATGACCGGTACAATGGACTAGTCTTTGCAGGCTTGGTGGGCATGAACGACCCTCCGCGCAAGGACGTTCACAAGTCCATCCGGCGTCTCATGGCTGGAGGAGTGCGGGTCATCATGATCACGGGAGATGCGGAGACGACCGCTGTTGCCATCGCGAAGAAACTAGGAATGCCGGTCAGTGACGCTCCCGGATCACGGCCCGTCATGAATGGGCATGAGATCGATCGGATGAGCACCCAGGAGCTCGCGCAAGCCATATCCTCGACCTCGGTCTTTGCGCGCACCAGTCCGGACCATAAAATGAAGATTGTGCGTGCTTTGCAATCTCGTGGCGATGTAGTGGCTATGACCGGCGATGGCGTGAACGATGCCCCGGCACTTAAGAAGGCGGACATTGGTATCTCGATGGGCAAGCTGGGCACGGATGTTGCCAAGGAGGCAGCGGATATGATCTTGACAGACGACGACTTTTCGACCATCTTGCGTGCCATCGAGCAGGGCAAGGGCATCTTCTACAATATCCAGAATTTCATTACCTTTCAGCTCAGTACCAGTGTTGCGGCACTGAGTCTTGTGTTGCTAAGCACCACCTTGGGCTTCAAGAATCCGTTGAACGCCATGCAAATCCTGTGGATCAGTGAGTTTACCTTCCCTGGCATGCTTGAAACACTGCTAATCTCGACTCTTAGATATCCTCATGGATGGTCCCCCAGCACAGTCACTGGGCGTGGAACCCGTTGACCCGTCCATCATGAACCGGCCACCCCGACCGCGGAATGCCCGTGTACTCACGAGGCCGCTCGTCCAGCGGGTGCTCACCTCCGCGATGATGATCATGCTCGGCACTCTGGCCATCTACATTCACGAAATGGGCGATGCCGATGACACCGCCAACCCCGGCGTACACTCCCGCGTAGTGACAGCCCACGACACCACGATGACCTTTACATGCTTTGTGCTGTTCGACATGTTCAACGCATTGACCTGCCGCAGTGAGGGCAAGTCGGTGCTCCGTGGCGAAATTTCTCTCTTTGGAAACAAGATGTTCAACTACGCCGTTCTGGGCTCGCTCGCGGGACAGGCGTGTGTGATATACCTTCCCTTCTTGCAGCGCATCTTCCAGACGGAGCCTTTGAGCTTTGGACATTTGTTCCGGCTGGTGTGTATTTCGAGTACCGTATTTTGGGTCGATGAGGCCCGCAAGTATTATATGGCGTTGAAACGACGGGGCACGGTGGGGGTAGGATACAGTGTCAATGTTTAATAGATTAGGTTATAGGTTATATGTATAGATGTTTCCGTTCTACTTTGATGTCAGTATTGACAACCTACTTGGGCAATAAATCTAAAGATAAGGTAAACTGGTACCCAGTCAGTATCCGCAGTGTTAAAAAGTTTTGGGGAGTGAAATAAAAAAAAGAAAAACAAAAAAAGAATTGACCTACGCAGGACTCGAACCTGCAATCTCTTGATCCGTAGTCAAGCGCCTTACCATTGGGCCAGCAGGCCAGCTGTTGAAATACTGGCCAGTAAATCAATTTATGAACCACAACAACACAGCAGTACGTGTTCCCTCTACCTGTGTGGTCTGCTGGATACAATCACTGGGAAACAGTAGTCTAACCATGATGAGGGTGCTTTAGGTGAGTAGTAGTAGTAACTTAGTGGTATCTGTGCATAGTACTGCGGACTTGCCGCTACTAATACCAGTGGTAAGCTCGCTACTAAGGAAATGCTGTCGATGATGGTAGTATATAAATTTGCCAGTCGGAACCGACAGTGGTTTGACCGGGTCGTATCACGTTAGAGAGTCGCGAGGATTGAAGTAGTGAACCAGGTACTGCTACAATAGCCGCGCATGAAAGGTCTAGATAATTCGATTACCACTACGTAGTATAAAGGGAACCGGGGAGGTAATGAGCTAAGTATAGCTGGCTGACGTGCTTTGGCTCTCAGATTCCTCATCAGCATACAGCGGTCAGCTGCAGGGAGAGGTACACCAAATCGAGGTATCACATCCAAGCGCACGTATGCTGGCTCAAAAAACCGGTATGTATATTCAGGAACCGGTACTATGTAGGGCCATTGAACGGGCGCATGAAACACCGGGATCCCGAAAATTCGGGGCCAGAGTAGGGAGAGGACCAACGTCGGGATAAGCTAGGGTTTTAAATGCTCGGCACCTCAAAGCGAAGACCCTCACCAGCAAACATTGCAATTCAGCAGAAGCCGTGGAAGTAATAAGGTAGGGTGGTTATTGATACCATCACCGCCCATCACCAACCGAAACAGCATACCAGCGGCAACAACATCCGTTCCCGTCGTCTCGGCATGCTCAACCCCGAACCTAGATCGCAGAATAAATCCGCAAGGGGCGATTGGCCCGGATCATGGTGACCGTTTCTAATGGATCTCCGGAAGCAGAACGTTCTCCGTATTGAAAGAATGACCCGGGCAGGACTCATGGCCGTGCATCTGCAGCAGACGTCGAATTAGGGCTGGCAGGACAATAAATGTTAGGTAATGGTGTCTGGCCATTGGTCCCTGCAACGAACAGGCGACAGGCAAACTCATGATTGGCGCGCTCCCGTGACCGTTGACGATTTTAGCTCCGGTGATGGGCTCATCGTCCACTCCGCCCTTGTGTTTCCTCAGTCGATCACCATCGTAGCTTGCCCCGTGGCATGAACCGGGGCCCGATAGTGTGGTTCCCCGGGGGTCTGTGAGGGCACGTGGTCGACATGGATGTATAGTTTATTTTCATGTCCTGCAGCACTCAATATTTGACTCGTGGCATACACACGGGCCATTGTGTCATGTTATGGCATGTCTGTGATGTCCTGAAAGGACAAGGTCATGCATGGCTGCCACCCACGCAGGGAGTATAGCACCCCCACAAAGGAGTAGTCCAAATAAGCATCGTTCAGACTAAGACGCAGGAACTAGTAAGGAGTCAAAGATCAGCAACCAATTTAGTTACACGATATGCAGTAACATCCAACCCACCTGGTAGAGAATACTATTATTTTACTCGACAAGAAACCCCAGAGATAAGGGAGCTACTACTAGTAGTGCAGCGGAGACGGGGTCAGGTTAGTTATATGGAGACACGAGCACATGGAAGGAATCCTTTTTTTCTTTTTAAAGAAACTAAAGATAGGTACCAGGTACTAGTGTAGTTCCTATCTCCAGTGTTTCTTATCTCGTTCTACTCTTCCCCTGAACTAAAGCATTGAGGAAACTGGGGACAGCATCTACTTATGAACTACTGCTAGACCAGATTGGGTAACGTGCTATCAGCACCAGGGATCCCGGGGAGCACAGGTCCGATGTAGGATCATCTATCTACTATCTACTATTATCTACCGTAGAATGACTCGGGACTTCTGTCGGCTGCTGATAGGCAAGTCGGGTTGGTTTGCCTAGTATAGTCCCACCCCACGCGACTGCTAGTCGAGATACCCATCCATGCTTTTGCGTGCATTTGTCCGCCCGGTCTGGGACTGTCATACAGACGTAAGTGCGATATCATCGTATGGGGAGAGTAAGCAGAGTGACATATCCTCCGATCTGGATAATTAGCCAGTTAGAAGCAGTTGAGTACACTCTATAAGACAATTAATTTGCAGCACACACATCTATTCCATTCAAATTTCTGTGTAGGCAACACACCGTATCGCAGCACCCTCACCATCGGAATCCTCCGAGCCAAGAGCCAAGCAAACGCAGCCCGACTCGCAAGTTCATTCATCCCGTCCCCGTATCTCTTCTATCTAACTGCTACTGGACTAGAGCCTGGCAAACCTCCGAACCGGCGACTGCGCGACCCAACCTCGAAAGCCCGCCCGCCCGCTTCAGGCCTACCCAATTCCTGAAACTCCCGAGCGGACATCGGGTGAAACAGGAATGACAAGCGGACTATCATTGGCCAAGCTTCGTCGTTATCAGCGCGGTGGAGCTGTTCGAGGCTGAGCTAGGCCGGATCGGGCTCCGGCGGGACCCACCCCGGATGCAGGTGGCGTGCAGCTGCCCTTATCGTGACCTCCTAGCCAATCGATTCGGAGTGGTGATGAGCTGAGAGAAAAAGGAACTGATAAGAAAGGTCATCTTGAGTTTTCCGATTTCCACGGAATAGTTAGGCTTTCTGGTCGTGGGGAACACGGATGGATGGAGGGTGGATGGATTGAGCATGAAACGTGATGATCTTGTTGTCTTGTGTCTTGGCTTCGAATTGGCAGTTTACTTCAGGTTTGCCTAGTATGGATAGATGGATAGAAAACTAGGATATCCCTTTCATTTCTGTTTTGGGATGGATGTATCAGACTGGTTTGATTATTTCCCTGGTACGTTGTACTCTTCCTTACATGAAAGACGCATTTCTGCATGTGAGACGAAGTAGGGTGCAAACATGTGCCTTCCTGCCTGTCTGTCTGCCTGTCTGCCTGTCTGCCTCAAATTCGAGCCAGATCAAACACAGTCAGTACCGCTATCTATCTACTAATCTGGAACCGGTTGCCCATTCCTTTGCCGGCCCAACTCGGCAACAGATAGGGCCCCAGGCCGCGAGTATGCGCTCTGTAGTAGCTCTGGAACGTGTTCAGTCTGTTATCATTGGGCTTGAAGGCATGCGTGATAGATAATCGCCAGCTGTCGGAGTTCCGCGTGCGCGCATATCGAGTAGATACATAAAGTAAACAGAAGCCCCAAGCCCGAGGCCCCCGAATTGCACTGGTGCTGCTCTGTTTCTTCTCCTTTTTCCTCCTCTCTGCATACGGAGAGATGATGATCCAGGAAGCAGCAGACCATGCGGTGGGATGAGCTGGTCTATGCGGTCCTACAGTCCACTTGCTGTCGCGTGGGCATCATCGACACTTTTGATACCATATACCATACCGTATACTGGGGATTACAGCTTACTATACAAGCAGGGAAACAGCATGGAACCTAACCGGGAGGCTATACGAACCCTATCCCCTGGGACGAGTTTGCAGATTCAATGGGTCGGGGCCTGGACCGACGCTCTTCCCTATCCACTGGAACCTGAGCATGGTGGCTGTGTGAATGAACACTCAATATGAATTGAGTGTAGATGATGATGATGATGATGATGATGATTATGATGTTGCTGCTGTTGCTGCTGCTTATGATGATGAAACAGATCATTCCAACAGGCTTAACCGAGGATAGTATACCAGGACCCAGCCGGGGCTAAAGTGGAAATATGACGGGGAGTTTTCGCCACCGACTTCTTTGGGAATAATTTCTGCAGTCCTCCTCAATCGGCGGCGGTCTTGGCCGAGGGCGGCAGTTTTGCCACGGACCCAATCAAGGGCCCAGAGCAAATACTCATTTTGCACTCACTGCAGAAGAAACTACTGAACTGACAGGTTATTGAGAGATACAATTGATGTTTGTCTGTGTGTGTGGTTGTCAAGAGAGCTTCTCACGATCTATCAACTTTGACAAGTGAAGCACACGCAGCAAAGAAAAGTCTATCATCCTCCTTTCCATCACCAGCAGCGGCATCCATTCCTCCGCCGTTCGCCAGGAAACGCAACCAGTGGATTTTGAATGGGTTCTGGTGGATGATCGTCGGGCCCGAGTTTATTTTATGCCATTTGATTTTTCACCTTATCTCTCGCCCGACTCAGCGGCCTCCCATTTGGGCCTTTTTTCTCACTATCTTTATTTTATTTGATTTGAATTATTTTCTGGCGCCTCCCTCGCGTGGTGGAAAGAGAATAAATTATTGTTTTCTGATTATTTCCCTTTTCTTTTTCTCTTTTTCTTTTTTCTGACTATCTACTGGAGACTTGAATTTTAGACTTTTTCGTGTTCCCTTTTAATCTTTCTGGGGTCTTTCTTTCTCTCCCACGCGAGGCTAATCTGGAATGAATTGAATGAATGAAGTTTCAAGGGCATATCAACTTATCATCCACCCGCCAAAAAGTCATCACTAATAGATATTATCGACGGTCGAGGTGCTCCACCCGCGCCCAACGTTTGAGCAAAGTTTAGGGACTTTTCCTCTCCTCTTCCTGCCTGGGCATTGACACCAACCTATTATCGCTGCTATCGGGTCGGATTGGTAAAAGCGCAACCTCGTCGCAGGTTTGAGGTCCCACTCCGGTGCCTTTCCAGAATCTTGTCTGCCCGGCCGCTCCACTCATCGGCCATCTTCTGCTTCATTCCTCAAGTCAGCGCACTCTTATTTATATAGTCGACGCCCTCCGCGCCCCCCCCGTGGCGGTTTTCCCTTCTCCACATCCGGCGGAGTCGACAGTCTGCAGCATCCTTTCCCTCTCTTTCTCTCTTCCTCTCACGGCATTCCGTCTTACATTCCCGCTGCCGGTCTCTCAATCGACTCGCCCTTCTTGCCTCTCCCTCTCTCTCTCTGTCTCTGTCACTTCCCTCCATTCCAATTAATTCTCAAACCTCCTCTTTGTGTCACCTCCCTTTCTCTCTCCCCCTTTCGCCCTTGCAGATACTCTATTTCGCCAGTTCCGTCTTCGATCTTCGATCCCGATCTCGCTTCTGCAGTTCTTGCCGCCACCCACTCGAACTACACCCTCTCCACCACCCGCCTGTTCTCGGCCTGAGAACATTCCTCGGCGGTGGTGACTTCACAACGCCCGTCAGAAGATCATTTCGACCCGTAAATTCCTCGTGTTACCTTCGATAGTCTTTCTTTCCCACCATGTCGGACAAACCTGGCGTCTTTATCCCGCAATATGCGTCCTACAACTGGACGGGCGCTCCCTCCGACTACGAGGCTCTCACGACCAACGATATCGGTGGCGATTCCAGTTAGTTACTCTGCCTTTGTTGGTCGTTTTGGCTTCCCATGACTCACCTGTTGGCTAGGAACGGAAAACTTGAACAAATGGTTTCAATCCGGTGATCAAGCATTCATCATCGTGTCCTCCGCCATGGTGATGGTCATGATTCCTGGTCTCGCTTTCCTTTACTCTGGTCTCGCGCGCCGCAAGTCAGCTCTGAGTATGATCTGGGCTTGTATGGCTTCGTTCTCCGTCGTCACCTTCCAGTGGTATTTCTGGGGTTATTCTCTCGCCTTTTCCCCGACTGCAACCAACGGCTACATCGGTAACCTGCGCAACTTCGGTTTGATGAGGACCTTGGCCGATCCTAGTCCGGGCTCCCCGCTGATTCCGAACCTCCTCTTCGCTTTCTATGAGGTAATTACGATCTCTGAATGGGACTTTACAATTTATAGCTAACGCAATTGGGATAGATGCAATTCTGCGGAGTTACGGCAGCAATTATCATGGGAGCTGTGGCCGAACGTGGACGCATGCTACCCGCAATGGTGTTCGTCTTCATTTGGGCCACGATTGTGTACTGTCCTCTGGCGTGCTGGGCATGGAACGTGAACGGTTGGGCCTACAAGTACGGAGTTTTGGATTATGCTGGTGGTGGTCCTGTCGAGATCGGGTCTGGTCTGTCGGCACTTGCCTACTCCATGGTCCTGGGCCGTCGCCAGGAGCGCATGATGCTGAACTTCCGCCCACACAACGTCTCTCTCATTCTACTGGGAACCGTTTTCCTTTGGTTCGGATGGCTGGGATTCAACGGTGGCTCGGCTTTTGGAGCGAACCTTCGTGCCACCATGGCTTGCTGGAACTCTAACTTGACCGCTGCCTTCGCCGGTATGACTTGGGTTCTTCTCGATTGGCGCTTGGCTCGCAAGTGGTCCATGGTCGGTTGGTGCTCCGGTACCATCTCGGGCCTCGTTGCGGCCACTCCGGCTTCTGGTTTCGTCCCTCCCTGGGCTAGTGTGATCCTCGGTGTCGTGACCGGTATTGTTTGCAACTACTCCACCAAGGGTAAGTCACGCAGTTGCTTAACAGCTATCCCGTTTAAACACTGACTGAGTTTACAGTGAAATACTGGATCCGTATCGACGACTCGATGGATGTGTTCGCGGAACACGGTGTTGCGGGAATTGTCGGTCTTATCTTTAACGCCCTTTTCGCGGACGATGCGATTGTTGGACTGGACGGTGTCAACACTGGATCAGGATCCGGAGGTTGGCTGATCCACAACTACAAGCAACTCTACATTCAAATCGCCTATGTCGTCGCTACCTGCGCCTACTCGTTCGTCATGTCCGCCATCATCGCCTACGCCATCAACGCCATTCCCGGGTTGAAACTGCGTGCCTCGGAAGAAGCCGAACTGCTGGGTATGGACGACGACCAGCTGGGTGAATTCGCCTACGACTACGTTGAAGTCCGTCGTGACTACCTCGCCTGGACCCCTCAGCAGCACAATCAGCTCGAAGACGGCCACCAGATCCCCGCCGCGGCGCGGTACGGAATCGGCGAGCACAGTGAGATGATGCTGGACGGCCACGCCCCGGTTGGTGTGGACAGTCGCGGATGCAGCGAGGGTGACTCGGGCATCCAGGAGCTGAAGATGCAGCCTGCGCCGCGACAGGTAGCAGAACACCACGCGCCGCATGAGCCCGAGCCGGTCGAAGAGCCTATCCCGCCGACTCAAATCAACGAAAAGGTGACGACCTGAGTCGAACTTTTCATCTTTTCTAACTTCTTAATGTCTTCTGTCTTCTTTTCTCTTTCTGTGATATCCAGCGATGCCTTTCTTATTAGCCCGGCTGAGCCACTTTTTTGTTTTGTACATGTATTACATTTGGCGGCGATTTGGTTTGGCGTTTTCAGGGACAAAGCCCGCGGGTTATGTATATCTACCTGTTGGGTGGATTGTATATATTAGGTTATAGCGGGGGGTTATTGTTTATTTTTGACTATGTTCGTTTCCTAGATCTTGCTTATGGAGTGATACCAGTACATGCATAGATAGTCAATTGATCCATCCATAACATATATCAGTCACACCATTCCGAATATGTAGATGTAGATGTCTGAAATCACCTAGCCTAGACGCAAATGACAGCTGACAACGTATCCCCGGTACTACCCCGGAATTGCTACCAAATACCCCACGGCGGTACGGAGTAAACAGATAGACCACATGCATGTGCGGAGTACTCGACCTCCCTCCAAAAACAACATCCTCCAACATCGAAGCTGTCGTATACATACGAACACGTGACCGAGAAAACTAAATCTTCCATATACGCAGCGTGCTTGACCCAATACATAAAATATATAATATATATACAAAAATGTCCATGCCATGTGTACGTTAAAATGTTCTTCATGGCCCCTCAGTTCCTTCTTCCTGTATATATGGGGGAGGGGGGGTTCGGATGTATGCATGTAGAGCTTACCTAGCCCTAAGTACTCATGTATTCATGTATGTAATCATCATTGTTCGTCATTCCGTAACGTCATGAATTGATTATTGTTGCAGATTTATTTCAGTGCAGGAAATTTAAAGAGAACAAGGTAATTACGTATTTGAGGGGCTTGGAGTTTGGAGTTGTGGTAAGATGACTTGCTTGGTATGTGTGATATGCTAAGGTACTATATACAAGAGAAAGCAATACGTATGTATTTTTGAACAAGACGACGCTGTCAGAACTTATTTTATGCGGTTGTAGAAAGGTAAAAAGGGGCAAAAAGTTGACTCTTCGCTGAGGAGAAGGTCGTTGAAGAATAGGGAGAATGAAGAAATGTGGAAGGTGAAAAGTGAAAGAGATCAAACCCGTCTCACCATCCCTCTCACTCTCATCCTCTCTTCGCGACTCAACTTATCCACCACTTCACCTGTCTCTCCACCTCGGAGGACATCTTCCCACTCGTCTTCATCCATGCCCATGACCAGAACCATTTGCAGACACCGGGTGAATGCTTCACGGTGCCGGTATCGACCTGGTGCCGCTTGCGTGCCGCCCACATCGACAGCGGCGCTGACCACCCCGGATACGTCGCGCTCGAGGCGGGTGGCGCCCAGGGCGTTGACGCGGCCATGGTAAGACCAGAGGCGCTTCTCCAGGAGCCGAGAGAGGTAGGCGATGGTGACGGTGAGAAGACGGTCAAAGGCGGATGCGGTGAGGATGCGGCTGAGAGGTAGGAGCAGTTCGGTCCAGGCGGCGGCGAAGCGCGGACGGACGAGCTCTGCGCGGCTGGTGGGGTCGTCGTCGTCCGGGACGGTGCCGTCGGCCATGTAGTCCGGATCATCGGAGTCATAGTCATGGTAGACAGTGCGGGTGGGATCGGTGTCTTCGCGGGGTTGATACTCGATGTCGCGGAAGGCGTCGGAGAGGATGGGCCGGAGACGGTGTTTGATGACGTTATTGAAGACAACTTGAATGCCGTCTGTAAGGAGGTCGGTGACCTTGGACTCGAAGGAGGCGGAGAGGGATTGGAGGGTTTGTGTGGCGAGGCGGGCTTCTTCCGGGACGGGGAAGAGGGAGCGCAGAGGGTCGGTCTCCTCGACCTGGCCATCAGGGCCGATGGACTTTTTGGGCTCGGTGTGGTTTTGTAGGATGCGGCGGACGTAGTCGACGGCGACGTCGAGGTTGTTGATGAGGACGAGGAAGGAGATGACGAGTTGCTCGGGGGGTTGGCCGCCCTGGACGGCGGCGCGGGGGTAGCATTCATCGCGCATTTTGCGTTGGGTCATGCCGATAAAGTCGGAGCCGAGGACGCGCGAGAGCGTGGGCACGACGCTGGTGACGACGGAGATTTGAGATGTGACGAGAGACTGCTGCAGGACCTTGTTGACGATGTACATGATGTCGTCGACAGCGGACGTGATGTGCGGCGGCTCGGATTTGAGCGGTCTCTGCGGGTTGAGGGTCAGGCCGGAGGGCTGTTCGTCCAGCTGGAATGCCTTCTCGACCGACCGGCGGAAGAAGAAAGTGGTCATGGTGTTGAACGGAGAGGCCAGGCGGTCGTTGATCTTCTTCGCGAGGGTCGATTCCCGGAGGAATTGCGGCAGGGCGAACTTCTGGTCGTCATCCGCTTCCGGGGGCTGGACTGGGTCAGTCAAGACGAACAGAATGCTGTGTGTAGGACTTACATTGCAGGTGTCGGCCAAGAACCGGCAGTACAGGGACCAGCGACCAAGCATGACAGCCATCTCGTTGAGAAGCCCGTCAATCTCCTTCATATCTACGCCCTCATCATCGGCTGCAGCGGCATCGCGTACGGCAGGCGAGTTGGATCGGGGTGTTCCGCTGCGCTGCGGAGGGAGGAAGCTCTGCACGAGGAAAGTGAAAGCGTAGGACTTGGTGTCGGTCAGCTTTCGGTCAACATGGCGCTCGTCGCTCCAAGTGTCCAGGATGATGCCTCCTTGGACATCGGCCTCCAGTTGCAGACGCTCAATGACTCGGTTCATCTTACGCGGGCCGTAGTGACGCTCCACTAGGCCGCCGTGACCATCGATGATCTGGGCGATATGTTCGAACAGCTTGGTCAGCGCATTGGCGTAAAAGAAGCCGTCCTTGCTTGGCGAAGCCCCTGTGCCGGCGTTGAGGTTGGATCGAGCTCGCGCCGCCACGCCTTGACAGACATAGCGGCCGTAGACATCCAGACCCACCTCGGACCGACCGATGAGGGGGAAGAGCTTGAAGAAGCGTGTGATGCGGGCACCGTTGTTCTCCTTGACGGCTTTGTCGAATTCGCGCAGGAACAAGCCACAGAGCGATTCCGCGGCGTTATCAAGCGTGACATTTGGCGGATCGGGCACCTCGGCCGTCGGCACCATTTCCGCGGCAAAGGCCCCCTGCGCGACCTCCGGAGGGATCTTAGAGGCCCGGTTCAGATAGCTGGCGGCGGTCTCCCAGTCCTGCGGCGCACCCATGGAGCCTGCGACGCCCAGAACACAGGCCTTGAGCTCGGAGACCTGTTCGACCACTTCCAGGGTTGCTTTCACGCGGGATTGTTCTAGATCGAGGCGACGGACGGCGCTGGAGATGCGATCGGCGGTGGTTGCGGCATCGGCCAGCATGCCATGGCTGATGGCGCGGGTGGTGCTAGTCTGGGAACCGAGATGGGCGCGGAGTAAGTCGAGTCGGCCTAATTCACGAGAGAAATCCTTTTGAGAGGCCACAAGGGCATCCAGGCGAGCTGTAACAGAGGCCTCCTGGTGGTGCAGGTGCGACAAGGTGGCCTTGATCTCGGCAACGGAGCTGGCATTGAAGATGTCCGGGGCGGGATGCGAGGGAGGCACTGCATGGCCATTGGCCATGCCGGCCGTAGAATTGGACATTGTCTGATCACAGACAAGGGCGAGATGGACCGGCGATATACCCAGTTGATCACTCAGAAGCATAGAGGGAAATGATGAAGGGAAAGGAAGGCCATCTGGCACTCGGCCCGCAGGCGGTGAGCAGCTGGGGAGCTGCCTGAGCCCTGAGGTGCTGCAGGTGCCTCAGAATAATGGCCACCAGGATGAAGAGTGTGGAAGAGTGAGAACAGCCTCGAGAGCTGCTTGAGATTCACCGCATTCTTTCATCATTGATCTTAGAATTGATATGGCAGGAATTAGATAGAATCAGGCGTACAAGAATCACGGGACATAAGATATAGATACCTCAGGCCGCCACAGGGGACAAGCAATTCTGCCGATTGCTGCATTCGACGTCATCTTCAGATTTCCAGTCGCACTTTTCTCTTCACGATATCGACGGTTTCACCCGCTGTCTAACCCTTGAACTGCTTTACTTCAAGCACCTCCTTCTTGGCGACTGGAACTGGTCGTATACCGTCATCATTGGTCGCCGTCGCAAACCCCGACACCAACACGCCCGACCCCGAACAGGTCGCCGGCCACGCACCATGGGCAACGAATCCTCGACCCTGGTGGATGAGCACACGCCCCCGTCGGTGCTGGAGGCACGCAGTATCGAGGCGATTGCCAAATATGTCAAGCAAAAGCCCGTGAAGCGCGTGGTGGTGATGGTATGAACTTTCCCCTCCGATTACCCCTCCCCCGCACTCTGTCAGATCGAATTCTACATCCCCAATAATGAGATTGAGTGGGGATATAGCTAACAGGAGGTACGTCTACAGGTCGGAGCTGGCATCAGTACTTCGGCCGGAATTCCCGATTTCCGCTCGCCAGATACCGGCATCTACTCGAATCTCGCCCATCTGGACCTGCCCGATCCCGAAGCCGTCTTCGACATCAGTTTCTTCCGCCAGAATCCCCGCCCATTCTACGCCCTGGCCCGGGAACTTGCCCCGGGTCAGTTCAGACCTACCATCGCACATTCGTTCATTAAGCTACTTTACGACAAGGGGATGCTACTGAAGCACTTCTCGCAGAACATTGACTGCCTGGAGCGGCTGGCGGGGGTGCCGGGTGATAAGATTGTCGAGGCGCATGGGAGCTTTGCGACACAGCATTGCATCGACTGCAAAGCGGAATACCCCGAGGACTTGATGAAAGAGGCTATCACCAACGGAAAAGTTCCGTACTGTACTCAGTGCAAGGGGCTGGTAAAGCCCGACATTGTCTTCTTCGGGGAGTCGCTGCCAGCTGACTTCTTCGACAACCGGGAGCTCCCCGAGCAGGCGGACCTGTGCATTGTTATGGGAACCAGTCTACAAGTGCAGCCGTTTGCCAGTCTGCCCGCATTCGTTAGTGATGGAGTACCCCGCGTGCTGATCAACATGGAGCGGGTCGGTGGGCTGGGATCCCGCCCGGACGATGTACTGGTGTTGGGTGACTGCGACACAGGGGTGAGACGATTGGCACGGGCGTTGGGTTGGAACAAGGAGTTAGAGGAGCTGTGGGAGAG